TTTGTCTTCAAAATAAGGGTGCGTCTTATATTCCGAAAAATCCGGTACTGGCAGAGCCTCTGGACATCATCTCAGATGAGTTTGGTTCGAAAACAGTGATGCATTGGTGCCACTACTACTAGGCACTTTCTCTCCAGAAAAAAAGATTGGTGATAGAGAAGAGAACGAGATTATTCTAGGCCTTGGGCAGTAAAACCTATTGTTCTTTCCAGCCTTTAATTGAGATCAAGCACATATAATAATCACATAATCACTGTTAAATTCAACAATCAAATACCAATGAACTCATCCACATTTTTTCGTATTTCCTAGATAACGGGTTCACTTATTGTATTTGATATATCTGATGATGCCAGATCAACTTTTGAAACATTATAACCATATAAATAACACTCTGTTTTTAATACATTTAATATTAATGACTTTGGTCCTATATTGATTTTAGGTACATTACACAAAAGTTCTGGAAATTATTTACTGCTTAGATAACAAAAATAGGGTCTTCTAACAGGTGCGTAGTCAGGTTCGTCAGAATCATCATATATATCCCATAATATTCTAGATACAACACAGGGGCTCCGAAAACGTATCATGAGGCTGCCATCTTAGTGCGGTCAGTGCTCCTGCTTCGTCACGTCTTTCTGCATATAAGTAATGTTCCTGTATACCAAAAATTATTTTAGGTTGCTTCTCATATCTAAGGCTTTAAATGGCCATATAACACGATCTTCTATTCTGCTTTGAGTTTATCTAATTTTTACTTCATTTTAAGTTACAGTAAATTTTATATTTTATTATTATTTTGCAAGGTAAATATATTATTCACAAATGCAAATGAGGTTGTGTAAGTCTTCAATTACAACATTTACTTTGTTTATTGCCCCCCCCCCCCTCAGTGGCACAGCGGTTTGTCTGCGGACTTACAACGCTAGAAACTAGGTTTTGATACCCGTGGTAGCCCATTGTGTAGCTTTGTGCTTAATTCCAAACAAACAAACAAGCTTTATTTTTTTTTTTCAGCACAAAGCTACACAATGAACTACCAGTGCTATGCCCACCGCAAAGAATCGGACCCCGGATTTTAGCGTTATAAGCTATTGGGGTAGAGGCAAGGATAGAATGAAGAGAAATAAAGCTAAGAAAACTTAAGAATTCTTGTCTTATTATTTACTAAGAATTATAGTATACTTTCTATATTTACCTAATGCTGGATTTCTTATTGGTTTAGTTCCTCGGTGGAACAGCAGTAAGTTCACGGACTTACGACACTAAAAATCCATGATTCGATTTTTCGCGGTGGACACAGCAAATAGGCCAATGTGGCTTTGCTCTAAAACGAACAAACAAACTCATTGATTTTAATGCACTATTTTTTTTTTATCTTGTATTGGTTGTTTCTTTTCGCACTCATTATTTTAATGTTTATAAATTCTGTGTTCCTTGATTGTTTGAAGTTAAGCACAAAGCTACACAATGGTGCTCTGCCCACCACGAGTATCAAAATCCGGTTTTTAGCTATGTAAATCCGCAGACATACGCTTTGCCACTGTTCCTCTTTGGCGCCCCCCAGTGGCACAGCGGTATGTCTTCGGACTTACAACGCTAGAATCCGGGTTTCGATACTCGTGGTGGGCAGAGCACAGATAGCCTATTGTATAACTTTGTGCTTAATTACAAACAAACAAATCCTCTGTGGCACTGCGTTATGTATCGCTTAATCTTTTATATTTTATGTTTTTATTTCTTGTTTTTACATTGTTCAAATAACATAATTAAAAAAACCGTTTGGTCGACAGAGCTGCTTTAATCTATTATTTATATTGAACTATTTCTAACCTTAATTTCTAATTTTACTTTGTTCTAATGTTGTTCTTTCTAGTGAGTGAATTTATTATGGAATATATTGTTTGCTACTTTTTACCTATATATATAATGATGTACTGTATTTTGATAAGCCAAAATTGAAACGTTGGAAGTCAACCTTGGAAAGGCTTCAGCTAAATCAGTTTATAATTATAATAATCCAAAGAGTAACAGTAGAGTTCCAGCTCCTTATGAGCTTGGCACCTTAATAACATTTAGTTATCATTTTTATTTTCATTGTTTTCAGGTTTAATTTCACAACCAACAACCATATTTTCACTTATACTGATACCACGGCAATTGTTACACCCAAAAATGAAAGGAATAATATTTCTATCCCCTGAATCGGAACCCAAAACCACCATTAAGCATATATAGAAAATTCCTCACCCTCATTGCAAGTAAAACAGTGTCTACCGGGGGTAAAAGCCGGCATGTTTTACTAAACATGTTAAAGGTTGTAATTCAACTTCCACCGACTTATTTTTTATCAAATTTTTGATAAACCTTTGTACAAAACTGGCTGATTGTGTCAAACTGAATATTTTTGAACATGTTAGATGCTAGATGTCTACTAATGAACACACTAAATGGGCAATGTTTTGCTTCGTTGCATGTTACATATAATAAATTACTTATTTTATGCAAAATATGTGTTCCCCTTTTAGTAGTATTCCAGCATAATTTTATCATTTTCAAGTTGCATTGTTCATAGGAACCTATAGGATTGGTTGAATCCTGAAGATCATGAGAATACATATCTTGTAAGATGTATTGAATTTTGTGCAGCCTATGATATTCACTGAATACTGAGCAACATCTTGTACACGATTCTTTTATAATTATATAGGACCTTATAAGGATCCTGTTCAAGATTTCAGTTAGGAATGAAGTACAATATGTAACATATACAACGTTAAACAAAGTAGTAATCCAGAATCCACAATCAAATTCACACATTATAAGGAATGACATCAGAACAAAATACAATTAGAATGAAATGGAGATCTGTGATTAATACGCTACACTGTACTGTACTATACTATACTATTATTATATTACTGATACCAATATAGTGTGTGTTTAACTTTAAGTATTAAACTAGAAACAGTGATTCGATAAATCTGTCAGCACACTGACAAGTCATAATTTCCATACCATAATAGATCTGCATATAATATTCCATCATGAACTTTCTGGTCTTTCATACATGCCAATTTCAATCACATTCACAAAACGAAGTCGTCAGAATGTAAATCAAAAAGAGTTGTAGATATATATTGACACCATTAAGTCTATTAAATATAGACAAACACACACACAAACTATTGTTTTAAATGCATTACGTTATATGCATATTGGTATTACAAACTCGCGGTAATGTATAATTTATACAGTTTCAAAAGTAGACATTTTTTTGAAGCAAACATTTTCTTTATATTTTTTGTATATTGTATAGGTCTACATTTTAAAGCCCCCCCCCCCCATAGGCACAGCGGCATGTTTGGGGAACCGGGTTTCGATACCCGTGGTGGTCAGAGCATAGATAGCCTCTTGTGTAGCTTTGTGCTTAATTCCAAACAATCAATCAAACATTTTACATGCTATGGTATGGGAAGAATAGAATCACCAGAATGTTATTAATTTGGTTATTATTTCAAATCATTTTACAATTAATAAATATGTATACCATACCAATTGTAATGTATTATGTTCATAGTACAGCTCTGTCATAAGCTGTTGAAGTTTATTTCAGTCTGAACTTTATCTTGTTTCATATTTTCTCTTTTATATTTGTATATAGCAACCGAGATATAAAAAAGAGCAATGACCGCTGCAAGATGGCGCTGTACTAGTACACATTAACCAATAGGAATAAATCGTGGAAGTCGTATCTAGTGTACTATCTATAGGTTGAAATGATGCTAGAGTGGGGAAACGTCTTCGAAAAAATTCTCTGAAGTCGAGAAAGCTGCGTAGTTAACGGTAGTTTTGGCTATTTATAACAGTTTAGTGCATTTTATTTCAGGGGGAAGTTGTAGGTAAATAATATTTAAATTACGAAAAATGTTATTTATGTCTCATTTCTTATTACAATTATTATCGTAAATTACAATTTGTTATTAATATTATTTACTAGGTAAAAACAGTACTACCATTTAAATTTATTTAGGCCTATGCTTAATTTTGGCTTTTCAAAAGTACTGTATTAGGGCCTTAGTAATATAGTATTAGATTCGAACCTATCAAAATGATAAAAATCACTCGGGAAAATATTTTATTTTTAAGAGTAGGCTAAGTTTGTTATTGCATTAAATTTGAGGTTCAAAGTGAAGACTGGTGAATTTGGGCTACTAGTACTAGTTTCAATTTCCTTATTCAAAAATATTGGAGATGTGAAAAATAAATATGAATTATTTTACAAGTTATAGAAAGATTAATATCGTTTATATTTTTTTAAATCCCAACAAAACCATGGATTTATTATGAGAAGAAACTAATTGGTGTCTAGGATTATTTACTCACCAGAACTCGTACGAGGTGTAAACTAAAAGTTTTACTATTACTTTTAGTAAAACTTGGGGACTTTAAATGAATACTTTAATGCTAGGAAACACAAATTCTAAAACAAATAAAAAAAATATTTGCAAAGCTACCTTTAAATTAATGTAAGTGACAGACAAACAACGGAATAAAAAACAATTTGAGGTTTCGAGAGTCGTTTTATACAGGTGGGTGGGGGAGGGCAACAAACCTATTACTACTACTACTACTATTATTATTATTAGTATTACTGTTAGTTCGCGTATATAATATAAAAGTTAAAATAATTTTGAAACTTAACTTGCACTTCCAAAGCTACCCTTTCACTTCACAAGCAACAGGGCTTTAAATATTTCATTTAAGAAAAAAAAATAAAGGTAATACGTTTGATGCCAGTACTAGGTAAATGGCTCTGGCTACCTCCAGTTTTTCTTTTTTTAAAGATATTTTTTTTAATTTGTCATATATGGGTACTTAACAATTATTTCATTTCCCTACTTTCCATACCTAAATAGTTTTGAATAAGAAAACAGGAACTAGTAATCAAGATCAGTCACATTCAAAGATCAACCAAGGTTTTCACACAACATTTAAAAATAACTTGAAAATTTAACTTTGATACGGGTGTAATTTAGAAAATTTGTATGGAACCTTTTTTATGTTTTATAACTATAGAGAAGATGCTTAGATCTATTTAAATTATCATTTTTGAATTTTTTTTTTGCATTGCCTGTAAATTATCAGCAGTTGTTTGTTAGTAATTAAGCACAAAGCTACACAATGGGCTATCTGTGCTCTGCTCACCACAGATATTGAAACTGAATTTCTAGCATTGTAAATCTGCAGATATACCACTGTGCCATTGGGGGACATTATCAGCAAAATGTAATGCCTTGATTATTATACCCTAGACTTTATCACTTGCTTGGCTAGTTGATACTTTTATTCTGTAAAAATGTTTGTACAAGCCTGGGTTGATGTCTATTTTAATAGTTTATTAATACTGGAAAAGACCTTTTTTCTTTTTAATTGATGATACAGTTGTGAACTAAATCATCTGTTGTTTCACAGATATGTAGAAGCAGGGGTGAAATTCTCAAAAATAAAAACTGGAGGTACTCAGCTAGGTGAAGTGGATCTGTTTTTGAAAAAGAAAAAGTGATAATTTGAGTATCAATGAATAAATGCTTTCTGATGGAACAATGGAATGCACGAGCATCTGAGAAAACCAGCTGAAATAAGTTCCAGTACTCAGTACCAGTGATTATTGGCAGAATTTCACCCCTGTGTGGAAGTACACATACTTAAAAAAATAATAAACTTATTCTGTTAGCTGTGTATCCTTTCTCGTATGATTTTTCCTAAAAAATGTTTGTACATTTTAGTTTTTCAATGTTTTTACAGGAATTGCAAGAAACAGTTTAGTTTGAGGATGTCAAGCAAAGGGAGGTAATGTATTAATATACAGTTAAGTATAAGTATACTTTTTACAACCCAACTCAGATTTTTACAACTATTGCAACTTAGTTGGTGTTTGTACTTTTCAACTATTATTTTTGTTTTCTGTGCGTGTGTGTATGGAATACAAAGTTGGTATTTATTTTGATATGAATCGCTGTATAATTCTACACCCTTGATAAGAATAGCTTTTTATATTGCTATGCTTTGTAATATTTTTCCAAACATAGGTAAAAGTAATGAAAAGCTATTTGTAAATGCATTTTAATCTGGATACAAATTTATATGCAAATCAGTATAAACAGTTCAGCTGTGAAGGTTACTTACAATTCAAACAACATAGGTGATATGGATTAACAGTTATCTGTATGGACCAGCTTTAATATAGCGTAACATAATGTTTTGGGACGACATGGGACCTATTGGTCCATCTCAGCTGTTCCATCCTCTAAATTAAAATAATTAAAAAACAAATCTTGAAGCCAGCTCTTGTCATTCATATACTTATCAAGCTTTTTCTTAAACTCACTTAAATTTACTGCCTACACAACATTTGAAGGCAACCCATTTCAAAAGCCAACCACCCTGTTAGAACAAAAAAAATTGTCTTAGCTGAAGATCACTCCTACCTTGCGAAAATTTATATTTTTGTCCCCTAGTTCTTCTGTTCTCACTGTTAAGTATAGAAAAAGATGTGCATCAACACTATCAATTCCCTTTTCAATCTTAAACACCTCAATTATTCTTTTTTCAAGAGAAAACAATTTCAACCTCTCCTAATATGACAACCTTCCATCCCAGACACCA